TGCTGTACTTGTGCGAGTAATTGGCGAGACCAAGCCACTTACGCAAGTCCTTCTGGTTCTTTGGAACCGGTCAGTCTACAATGGCCTCGACCTTAGCGGGATCCGCTCGAAGGCCACGCTTCCCAATGAAGCACCCTAAGAACGGAATCTCTTCGGCGCCAAAGATGCACTTGTCTGCATTGGCGTACAATTTGTTCGTGCGCATGCACTCGAGCACCGCTCTTAAATGGACGATGTGGTTATCCTCATCCTTCCTCAGCATAAAAACGATATTAAACTATCTCACGTGACAAACGGCAAGTTTCCAGACCAAATTATCGTTTCTACGCGCATTGTACGCTGGTCGTATCATTCGTAGGTTAACTTTACTGCCTGCCATATCACGCGCTCACCGAAAAGATGTGATGAATCTATTGGGGTCTGCTTTGGGAGATATGAGTGGCGACTTGGTGGGGAAATTTTATAAATCAAGACGACCACCAGTTGATTGATTACAGATCATTTTCTGCTTCAAAAGCCAGGTGGGGGCACACTATCTGAAGTAGTAGGAGCTGCAAGGGATTGGCCTGCTATCCGCGGAATATTTCACGACAATGATAATTTCGGTGCAATTATTAGGACCATATGCGTGTTATATCATTGCAGGATGGAGGAGATGTCAGTGCTGTGTTTGAACGCTTTTGTCGCGCTATTAAGAGTGTTGAAGCAAGCATCAAAGCCAAAGGTAAAGAATTTATCTACAATGAACATTTGGATCTCATTGCTATGGAACAAAAGCTACTGGCTGGAGAATATATTGACGCATTGTTCCCGACTGATCCTATAGCTCCAGTCATCATTGACGTCGGTGCTCCATTGGGAGTCGACGATGCATTGTCATCCCAAGAAGACAGTTCTCGCATTTTTACTTCAAAACATCACAGTTTAATGACTAAACACTTGACGAAAACATTATATGACAAGTTGAAGGATAAACACTCGAGTAAGGAGTATACACTGGATATGGCGATCCAGACTAGCAATGATAACCCACACCTTGGAGTTGGTGTTGTAGCTGGTGATGAAGAGTGTTATCAAGTATTTAAGGATCTCTATGACCCTGTGATTGAAGGATGGCATGGATATAAACCAGAAGATAAGCACCTAACCGATATGGATGTATCAAAGCTCAAAAATGCCGAGAAGACTGATAATGCTTATGTACAGTCGGCACGTGTGCGTGCTGGACGTAATATTCCTGGTCTTAGTCTGCCGCCTGGAACGACGCGTTCGGAACGTTTGGAGGTGGAAAATCTTATTGCAACGGG